TATATTCCATCTTCAGACAAGGCCGTGGGTTAATAAAAATATTGTAATGTGTTAAATTTGAAGATAATCGGACTCGTACATCATGTTTCATAAGAGCTATAATTATTCAGAATTTTGAACCCTTGTGGGGGAGGTACTTCATAGATTTGACCGATATTATCCATTTTTGCACCTGACCTAGCACAGACGCAAATGCTAGGATTTTCAAAGTTGGAGCGAAATCGGATTATCGTTTCTCTTTCTGTGCAGAAAATATATTTTTTGAAAATTTGGACCTTTTGTGGGGGAGGTACCAAAAGGAGTGGACCGATTTTGCCCATCTACGAACTGACAAAATATTACGATGTACCAAGTTTGGACCAAATCGGATACTCCCTTGGAGAGTTATCGTGCGCACCAGTCAGAAGATGGACGGACGGACATCGCTAGATCGACTCCAAATGTCCTGAAACAGATTTAGTCCAAAGAGAAATAGGACCTAAAACCGATGAAGCACGTTTTGGGCAAATCAAATTATATATTCCTTCTGTAGCCACATGGCTGAGGGTATAAAGAAAAAAATACCTATATAGGTGGGCTTGGAGAATTTCATCATAAATTCATTTAAATATTATGATATAACATCTCCGATTGTTAGTGATACAAGAAATTTTAAATTGTTCTGCATTTTGATCATTCGTTCTAAGCTACCGGAATGCAATGAAAATTTTCTAATTATTCATCATTTGCTTCCTGAAAAACTTAATAGTTCCTCTCCCCAAAAAAAACTCCCACTTCTTTGAAAATCATCATTGTCATTGCCATTTTTCCTGCTCTTAATTATTTGACCCTGAGATTTATGAGACATTGAACTGAATAAATTGTTGCAGGAAAATACGCAACCACATTTAAAATGAATTGCAAATTTGCAGACATAAACGTACGTGCAACATTTCTGTTGTGGTGGCAGACAATGAAGACATTTGTGCCTTTAATGAAAATGTTAATTAGATGCAATAAATCCGCAAGAGATGGAGAAGGAGGAGGAGGAGGTGGCGAAGGCAAAACTTAAAATGAGTACTTCCGATCCATATGGCTCGTAGAAACGTGTGTATGTGTGCAAATTATGTGAAGGGATTTAAATTAATAGACTCATTTATATAAAATGATGGCTAACCATGAGGTGGGTAGGCACCATTGAGACGGGTGTGGAGAGTTGCAACTACACCTAAATATAGAACGAACCTTAAACTATATGAAGTTGAAATCGATTTCTCGATTGATGCTGATAAGAATCTGAGACGAGAAAAATTATTCAACTCACACTCTGGATAGAAGAATTTTATAGGTTTTGGAAGAGGGTATATGTACTGCATTACGGATAAAATGTCTGCCTCGGAGCGAGTATCCATTTTTGTACAAATCCAAATATTTTTCCAAAAAGTTGGGTCAGATTTGAAGACGGGTTATATCGGCCTTTATTCGTCTCTGTTTCCCCTTTAAATGTTAAAATATAAGAAGTTAATAAATGTCAGTTAAAAAGCATCAGTCCGTTTTACCGACAGATGTCAGCTGCAGATGTCCTCGAATGCTGATAAAAATATTAGGCTGTTCAAAATTTAAAGAAAATCGAAGGGGGGAGGTAGAAAATCAAAATGTTAAACCATTGATGGAGATGTCCCACATCTTGCGTTTATAAAAATATTGAGATATTTGAAATTTGATGAGAATCGTATACTTATTTCGTATTTTGTTATTCAAAATTTTGATCCGTTTGTGGAGGAGATACCAGAAGGAGTGAATCCATATCTACCATCTTCAAAACAGATCTTGTCTTAGTGGAAATATTGAAATGTGAGTAGTTTAGAATGAATCGGATGTTACTTCGCATTTGATGACCTTTTGCGGGGAAGGTACCAAAAAGAGTGTACCGATGTTGCTCATCTCAGGACTCGATCTGTGTTTGATAATAATATTACGATTGGATACTCCCTACTAGAGTTATAGTGCACACCAGCCAGGCAGGCAGAAAGAGGGACTTCCCAAGATTGATTTCAAATATTCTGAAATGGATTTGGTCCAAAGAGACCTAGGGTCTAAAGCCGTTATGTCGATGAGCCACGTTTTGCGGAAAAAGTAGGCACGAGTAAAATCTGCTCATTTCGAGCAGAATGTATTCTTAAAAAAAATGTTTCAGCAAGCTGTAGGACTGATCATATCTCACAAAAAAGGGTCAGTGAAATTTATGGAACCAACCGAATTTAGGTATGTCTAGCTGTAATTCGGCGAGTGAGATTCTCAAAGAATAAAATCACGTCATAACGAAAATTTCCAATTGGCATATTCCATAAAATGGTATAACACAATTTTCCGAATTTAAAAATTTAAGCATCAATTAACAGATGGAAATTTAATCCTCTTATTGAATTTTCATTATAACCTCAGCCATATGCCTATATATGGTATATATCATTTGATGCAGCCAAAATTTGCCTCATCGAAATAACGGTTTTAGAACCAAGGTCTCTTTGCACCAAATCCGTTTCAGGAAAATTGGAGTCGATCTAAAGATATCCGTCCGTCCTTCTGTGTATATGGCTGGTGCGCAATGCACAATATTTTTACTAGCCCAAGGTCTGGTGTGAAGATGAAGTATATTGGTCCACTCCTTCTGGTACCACCCCCACAAAGGGTGAAAATTTTGAATATACATGAATATCATAAAATGCGAAATATACATCCGATTCCATTCAGACTTGGTACATATCAGTATTTTCATCAACACAAAATCTGTTGCAAAGATGGAAGAGATCGGGCAATTTCTTTTAGTACTTCCCCCACAAACAGTCAAAGTTTTGAATAACCAAAACGATCGTAAAATCCGAAATAAGCAGTCGTTTCTTTTCAAATTTCACACATCACATTACTTCCGCTAACACAAGATCTGCTGTAAATATGAGATATATCTGTACACTCCATCTGGTACGTCCCCCCACCAAAGGTCAGAATTTTGAATAACCAAAACAATCATAATATCCGAAATAAGCATTCGTTTCTCTTCAAATTTCTCACACATCATTACACTCTACGAACACAAGACCTGCTGTAAATATGCGATATATGTGTCCACTCCTTCTGGTACCTCCCCCACAAAGGGTCAACATTTTGAATATCCATGGAGCTTATAAAACGCGAAATAAACATCCGATTCCATTCAGACTTGGCACCACTCAATATTTTGTAGAGATCAGACTGTTTCTTCTGGTACCTCCCCCACATAGGGTTCGAGATTTTGAAACCAAAACGCTCAAAGAATACTTTTATCTGTCATAACTTGCGAAACAAGTCAGAGATTCTTTACAGTTTTCTATATCTGAATATGTTTCTCAACCGGGAACTTGTGATGAATATGCAATTTCGGATTGTGCTTAAAATTGAATATAATTGTTCGATTTTCTTGTAATTTTGCCCTTACCAATATTTTTATCTCTATTATTAGATAAGGTATGAAAATTGAATACTTCGGTCGACTATATGTGGTTTCTCGGGCACACTTTAAACATTTTCTAAAAATTAGCACATACCTCATATAAAGTGAAGGAAGCTGTCGTTATAGTCCAAACCTTGTAAGTAGCAATACCTTTTTACCTCCTTAAATTTTAGACGATTCTGTTCCCACTCTGATTTATCAAATAGGATTTTCTCGGGAGTGCTCCCACCCAAAACAAAAGAGTGAAGAGTAGACTTCGTAAAAAACTCCCATTCTGCGAACAATCCAGCTTGCGAAGTTTCACTCTCTAGAGAACATGAGCAAATCGATATTTTTCTTTTTGCAAGAAGGGGACTGATCTATTAAGAATCGAAATTATTAAGTTTCATAAAATTTGTGCAGAAACCTTCAAAATACCGAAAATCGGAAGGTTCAATTAAAGGGAGGCTATACCAAATACCGGACCTGAATCGAACATTTTTTGCAATGAGAGGACAGACCTCTCAAGAACCTCAAACGTAAAGGTTCATCTAATTTGGTTGGAAATTATGGCAGAAACCTCAAGAATACCGAAAATAGGGAGGTACCGTTATATGGGAGCTATATCAATTACTGAAGCTGGAGCTACATTTTTTCAGGGAGAGAACAGACCTACCGAGAGCACCAAATGTCAAGTTTCATCTAATTTTGTGGGAAATTGCAGCAGAAACCTTTAAAATACCGAACATCGGGAGGTACCATTATAGGGTGGCTATACCAATTAGTGGACCTAAATCGAAATTTTCCAAGGAGAGAACAAACCAGTTTCCTCAAATTTGGTTGAAAATTGTGGCAGAAACCATAAAAATTGCGGGAGGTTCCGTTGTATGTGGACCTGTGGCAAATATTTTTAGCAAGGAGAGAACAGACCTACAGAGGACCCCAACTTGCAAGTTTCGTCTTATTTGGTTATTTGAAATTATGGTAGAAACCTTCAAAAAATAGGATTTACTAGGGAGTGCTCCCACCCAAAACAAAGAAGTGAAGAGTAGACTCCGTAAAAAAACTCCCATTCTGCGAACAATCCTGCTCGCGAAGTTGCCAAATTTTTTTGCTAAAACAAAATTATTCAATTTTTTTGTATGTTAAAGGTCCTATATTAAGGATATCTACAGGTTTGCAGCTATGGAGCTCGAAGTCAACATACCCTCAAATCGTTTGAAGATAATGTAAAGTTAGCAGTTTTTGTAGAGTATATTGCAGTTTTTCTCAGTCGTCCTGACTCGTATTTTTGAGCTATTCCGACTTTGGGAAACTCTTTGTTTGAGTAAGATAGCTTTTTGGCATAGTCCGCCGGACTAATATCTTTAGTCCTTTAAACATGTATTAGTCTTAACAAAAGTGACCCGACCCAGCATCCCTGAGTTGAACCTTTCATCCCACGTTCTTTATATTGCTCACAACAGATTTTCAATAAATATAAGATTTTTTTATTTGTTGTTATTTTAAAACTACACAAATTTTAACAAATCGATTTGAATATCCTCCTTTTCGCAATCCATGGTCAATTTTTCGAAACACCGCATTTTTTCCCTCCAATATTTACCAGACACCAGTGGCTGTGTAGGTCAAAGGAGCTGAGGCGGCATAGGTGGACACAGCAGGAACGGCAGCATAGGTATGAGCCAAAGGAGCAGCAGCATAGGTTTGTACTACAGGAGCGGCGGCAGCAGTATAGCTGTGGACAACAGGAGCTGCAGCGGCATAGGTTTCCACAACAGGTGTGGCCAAAGTCTTTGTGGTATAGGAAGTGGTCTTAACGGCGGGACTGTAGACATCTTCCACTACATTGGCAGTGCTGTGGACAACACTGTTGCTGTGATGTGAGACGGCAGAGGGGACACTCTTTACCACGTTGCCGACATGGGCCAAGGCTGATTCCTGGACGGTAACAGTGGCAGCAGGGGCAGAGTAGTAGAGGGGTGTTTCCAAATGACCGGGACGAGCAGCAGCTACGGCGAGGAGAGCAGACAATACCACCTGGGGGAGATATCAAATATTTTGTTATTTTGGGAATGAGAGGAATATTTGGGTGTTTTTTTCAAACTTACCAACTTGAACATTTTTGTAAAGATTTGTGGTTTTGTTTTCAAATGGGTCTGTATTGAATGAATGAATTCTAGAACTGATACCATTCTCGTCACTGTCTCCCGTTTTTATACTAAAAGAATGAATGAACAATTGTTCCCAAAAAAGAAAAACAAACAAACGTAGTACCAAATGAACTATTAAAAGTTCAAAAACGTAATGCGTACACTTGGCCTTGCCAAGAGATTAACAAAAGAGGAACCACAAAAAAAAACACAAACAGAAACAAACATTACTAGAATTCTGGTTATACCAATTCATACCAACTGCACATACACACATACCACCTGGCCACAAAAGGTAAAAGTATGTAGCTAAAGCGAAAGAGAGAAAATTAACGAAACCAATATCAATTAACTGAGAAAAAATTGTAGCATTTTTTTTGATTCGAAAAAAACCCAAAATCTGCTGTGGAGGAGTTGTGCCGCGCCAAACAGGTTGGATGTTTGACGTATGCGGTGACTTGCAAATGATGGATGTGATGTAATTCGAAATAAAGGGTGCAGCTACTGTTACAAAAATGGAATGCCACCAAAAAAAAACTTAATTCTAAATAATACCGTGTGGTCGCATATCCTGTTCCAGTTGGAATTAAAAAAATAAGAATTATTGTGACGTGATTTGATTAAAATAAGGGGAAGTTGAAAAAGAAAAAAAAAAACAAAAAACGGGTTGGGACGAACTTTCTATACCCTCCACCATTTGAAAAAACTAGACTTATGGCCAAAGCCCTTTAAAATTAAGGAAATTATTTAATAGGCAGGCTATACCTATCCCCCCAAAAGTTATGAAATGGAAGTTTTGATAATGTGAGCAATCTAACTTCTGCATTATTTTTACCTTAAATCACAGTAGAAATGGGGAGTTACCAGGATTAGTTCAATATTACCCAACTTCGAAGTCGAGAGCAGATCGATGGGAGGATCTCGATCTATACAAAATGTTCTGGAATGTATTTTGCCTAAAGAGAAATGGGACCGCAAGAAGATAGCAGACTTTTCAAGAACCCCAAATGTGAAGTTTCAGCTAAATTGGTTGGAAATTGTGGCTGAAATCGTCCAAATACGGAAAATCGGAAGTTATAGGTTACCTATATGAAATAGTGGACCTGTAACGATTTTTTTCTTTTTGCAAGGGAAAGGATTGATCTATTAAGAATCTCAATTATCAAGTTTCATAAAATTTGGGTCGACATTGGGGCAGAAACCTTCAAAAATACCGAAAATTGGGAGGTACCATTATAGGGTGGGGGGAGGGGGGTTGGCTATACCAATTAGTGGAGCTGAATCGATCATTTTTGTCCAAAGAGAGGACAGATCTCTTAAGAACTTCAAACGTAAAGTTTCATCTAATTGGTTGGAAATTGTAGCAGAAACCTTAAAAATACCGAGAATCGGGATGTTCCGTTATATGGGGGCTATACCAATTAGTAGACCTGTGGCAAATGTTTAAAATAAAGTTTCAACAAATTTGTTTCGAAATTGAGACAGAAACCTTCAAAATACCGAAAGTTCCGGAGATACCGGATCTGTGGATCTGTAGAGAATCTTTTTTGCAAGGAGAGAACAGAACTTTCAGAAACCCTAAATGACAAGTTGTAGGTGATTTGTTTGTAAATTGTGGCGGAAACCTTCAAAATACCGAAAATCTGGAGGTACCGTTATATGGCGGCTATACCAATTACTGGGCCAGGATAGAATACTTCAAACCTAAAGTTCCATCAGATTTTATTTTAAATTTTGGAAGATATATTGGGGTCTCCGACGAATATTTCGAAAAGACATATTTTATATACCCTACATAGTATGATGGTGAGCATAAAAATCTTCCTCAGTTCTCCTATATATCCCAAGGTCTTCTAAGGATAAAATATATCTTCCACGTCTTCTATGGATAAGGACTTATTTCGGGATTTTCATGGATAAATTAATTCTTAAAGGTCGTCTGGTAAAGAAAGACGTCTTACAGGACATTTAAAGATAGAATACTTCTAATAGGTCGTCTAAACATTGAAGACCTCTTGAAGGTCTTCTAAAGATGGAAGACCTCTGACAGGTCTTCTAATGATAATGAAAATTTCATATAGGTATTCTAAAAGAAACGTCTTGCAGTCTTTCTGAAAATGAAGACCTCTTGTGTATTGAAGACTCCTTACATGTCCACTAAAAATAAAATGCCTCTTACAGGTAAATTAAAAATAAAAGACAGGTCATCTAAATATAGAGGACCACTTACAAGTCTTCTAGAGGAAGCAGACCTCCTTCAGGTATTTTTAAAAATAGAGGACATCTTAGAGATCTTCTAAAAAAGAAGACTTGTTACAGGGCTTCTTAACATAAAGGAAGTAAACTTCTTAAAGTTTTTCTATCACAGATTTTTTAAATATAGAAGACCTCTTGGAGACCTCTTCAGTGCATGGAAGAACCCTTACAAGACTAAATATTGCAGATCTTTTAATGGCCTTCTAAAGATTCAAGATACAGGTCTTCTGTATATAGATTACCTCTTCTAAAGGTAAAAACCCTCTGACAGGACTTCTAATGTTAGAAGACCTCTTGAAGGTCATCTAAGGACATAACACCTCATACAGGTCTTCTAAAATTGGAAACCGCTTACAGCTCCTCAAAAAAAACCTCAGATATATCTAAACATTGAAGACGTCCTAGAAGGTCTTTTAACAATAGAAAAACTTCTAAAGATAGAAAACTTCTTACAGGTTTTCTGGAGACTGAAATCCCGTTAGAGGTCTTCTAAAAATAGAAAATCTCTCCAGATCTTTTAAAAATAGAAGACCTCTTTCACACGTTGTAAAAAATAGAAGATCTCCTATTGGTTTTCTAAACATAGAAGACATAGTACAGTTCTTCTAATGTGAGAAGACCTCTGACAGGTCTTCTAACGGTGAAAGACCTCTTGCCGGTCCTCTGAAGACATAAAACCTCATACAGGTCTTCTAAAAATAAGAGAGAGATAAGAGAAAAAAATGTCTGACAGGCTTTCTAAACGTTGAATATCTCCTAGAAGAACTTTTAAAGATAGAAGAACTTCTCAATACAGAAAATTTCTTACAGGTCTTCAGGGGACTGAAGACCTCTTACCTCTTTTAAAAATAGAAGACCTCTTACAGATCTTTTAAGGACAGAAGACCTCCTACGATGTCTTCTAAACATAGAAGACAACGTACAGATCTTCTTAGGGGAGAAGATCTCTGGCAGTTTCTCTAAAGACATAAAACCTCATACAGGTCTTCTAAAGATAGAAAACCTCTTACAGCTCTTCTAAAGGTTAAATACCTCTGACAAGTCTTTTAAAAATATAAGACCCCTTTCACCCTTTCTTGGAAGATCAAAGAAAAAAGACCTCTGCCAGATCTTCTAAAAATAGAATACCTCCTACGAGTCTTCTAAACATAGAAAACATCGTACAGGTCTTCTCTGGAAGGGAGACCTTTTACAGATCTTCTAAAAATAGCAAGTTTTTTATAGATGGAAAACTTTTTAGATGCCTTCGAAAAAACAGAAGACCTCTTAGAGGTCTCCAATATTTTTTTTCTTACATACCTTTTAAATACATGAGGCCTTTTAAATATCTTCTGAAAGTAGAAGACCTCTTAAAAGTCTTCTTAAAAATCTTCTATAGATGGAGGAACTCTTACAGGTCTGCAATGCATAGAAGACAGTTCTATGGATAATAGACTTCTTTACGTGAATGAATATAAGACCACTTCGAAGACTCCTATAAATTTGAGAACTTTTACACGTCTTCGATGGGGGGTTTCTACTTCCAAGTATGGTATTGATGGGAGACCTCTTTTCCATACCTCTTACTCGTACAAGTCTTTTAGAGACAAAGTACATTTTTCTTATGGAAATCATATCTTCTTAATGGAATCTATTTTTTTTTATTAATGGAATGCCAAACTAAATAACAGACTGCATACATCTTCCAAATCCCCAAGGCAGGGTACACAACTAAACTGAATTCACATACCTATTAAATGGTAAACAATAAAGACTCACACACAGCCACCTCAGCTTATGGCAAGGCCATACACACGTAAAACTACATTGAATGATTGTTGACTTCTTCTTTAATTTGAAAATAATTTTTAGTATATAAACTGAAGCCATTGGCCAAAACAGTATCAGTTAAACATTTCAAACATTCAATACAGATCCATTTTGAAAACAAAACCACAAATCTTTACAAAAATGTTCAAGTTGGTAAGTTGGAAAGAATCAAAAAAATAATTTCATTTGAAAATAATGTAATTTTCAAAATTTCCCCCAGGTGGTATTGTCTGCTCTCCTCGCCGTAGCTGCTGCTCGTCCCGGTCATTTGGAAACACCCCTCTACTACTCCGCCCCAGCAGCCACTGTTACTGTGCAGGAAACCTCTTTGGCCCATGTTGGCAACGTGGTAAAGAGTGTCCCCTCTGCCGTCTCGCATCACAGCAACAGTGTTGTCCACAGCACCGCAAATGTGGTGGAAGATGTCTACAGTCCAGCTGTTAAGACGACTTCCTATACCACGAAAACTTTGGCCACACCTGTGGTGGAAACCTATGCCGCTGCAGCTCCAGTTGTCCACAGCTATGCTGCTGCTCCCGTAGTCCAGACTTATGCTGCAGCTCCTTTGGCTCACAGTTATGCAGCTGTTCCAGCTTACACCAGCTATGCTGCCTCAGCTCCTTTGACCTACACTGCCACCGGTCTGTGGTAAAAAGGGGGAAGCGGAAAATTTAGTTGGATAAGGTTTTCGAAAAATGACTGAGATAATCTTAAGTACTATATTGGAGGATAGGAACTGTTATTTAAATATGATTTAAAGTGAATAAAATAAAAAATAATGCAAATGTGTGTTTATCATATTTTTATAAAAATATTGAATTATTTATAAAAAGATATTCATATAAGATTAACGGGCTTAGAAAACAGTATTTACCCATTCAACTCCCGAAGTGTCGAATTTATCTAATTTGGATTAATTTTTACGACTAATGGTTTAAAAAGTCTATATTTGTATGGAAATTTATATGGCAAGTAGAATCGCGATAGATCAGGAATATGAACCCTTAAAGGGAAAGTTGTAAGGACAAAATTTTTAAAGCATTTTCAGCTACAACCATAAATTTTATTTGGTCGTACTTCTTGATTAATCTGGGCTTTTTTCGAGAAAATTTCAAAAATTTGAAAATGACGATCTTTGACCAATGGTGGGTATATTACATTTTACCTCGAAATTTTTATCCGAGACCCCATATAGTCGATTTAGCCACATCTGCATCTCTAATAGATAGTGCTCGCACAGTCATTGGTCTAGGTCTCTTTGGACCAAATCCGTTTCAGGACATTTGTCTGTCTGGATGGTGGGCACGATAACTCTTAAAGGGAGTTTCCAATTTGGTCCAAACATGGTACATCGTAATATTTTTGTCAAACTTAGATCGAGTTTAGAGATGGGAAATATCGCCCCGCTTCTTCTGGTACCTCCTCCACAAAAGGTCGAAATTTTCAAAAAAAAAAAAAAAAAAATAATAATAATAATAATAATAATAAATAAATATTCTCCTTCTTGTACCACCCCCACAAATGGTCGATATTTTTAAAAATATATATTTTCTGCACAGAAAGAGAAATGATAATCCGATTTTGCTCCAACTTTGCAGATCTTAATATTGGCGTCAGTGCTAGGTCTGGTGCGAAAATGGTCAATATCGGTCCACTCCTTCTGGTACCTTCCCCACAAAAGTTCGAAATTTTCAAAAAATTTATTTTCTGCAAAGAAAGAGAAAGGATAATCCGCTTTTGTTCCAACTTTGCAAATCCTAGTATTTGCGTCTGTGCTAGGTCAGGTGCAAAAATGGATCCAAGAAGTGCCTCCCCCACAAAGTCAACATTTTGAATAATTCCAAAATTTGATGTAAGAGTCCGATTGTCTTCAAATTACACACATTCTAATATTTTTATTAACCCAAGGTCTGGTATTAGGATGGAATATATCGGTCTGCTCCTTTTGGTACCTTCCCCACAAAAGGGTGAAAATTTTGAGTATCCATGAATTTTTAAACGCGAAATTAACATCCGATTCCATCAGCACATGACCTGTTATAAAGATTATAGAGATCTTACCGTTTCTTTTGGTACCTGCCCCACATAGGGTTCAACAAAGCGGTCAAGGAAAGAATATAAGAATATCCTTACCCATATTTTTATATGTATTAGATGAAGCATGAAAATGGAATACTTCGGTCGACTATATCAGGTATCTCACGTTAACATTTTCTGAAAACTATTACATATGTCATATAAAGTGTAGAAAACTGTCGATATAGCCCAAACCATTTATTTAGGTCCGATATAAAATAGACAATAATGGCCTATTCCCTCGAAACCTACTACATAGAGGGTGAACGATTTGAATAATCATAACAGAAGTCGAAATATATTTAGTTAATCGAACATTAGCTGAGGGTATACATCTGCCGGCAGAACCGATTGATACTTTCTAACTTGTTTTTTTGGAACATTGATTCATATATGATAAAGAATAATTTTATTTTTGATGTCATCCTTAAAAAATGTTGCTTCTTTGGAGATTTTTGCACAAAATCACATAAAGTACGGATTTAACCCTTTTTTATATACGAATTCCTCGGACCTAAAGTCGAAATTTATGACAACTAATTTTGTGGAATATTTTGACGATCCCTTCTACAGCGAGTTCTTGACCATATTTTTTACTCCCTCGAGGGTTTAAAATTTCGATCAATGTCAATGTTGGTGTCTGTGGTTAAGATATGGAGGTGGTTTTGGAAATGAGCATTAAAATTATACGAAAGGTAAAACTGTTACAGCATTTGGTATTGGATGAAGGAATAGAGCTGGAATCATGAAGTTCGATACTGTGGTCATTGCCGGTTTCTGGGGTTTACATATGGAGACATTAAAATAGTTTTGGACAGAAAAATTGGATATGGACCCATAATATCCTTCTCCTCGGTATAGTTCAAAATGAAAGATTTTGAAGAATTTTTTTGTAAAGGTAAATATTTTTAATTATTCTTTCCGAAAAAGGAAAAAAGCTTGTATAATATATAGAACATTGAAACTTGAGTAATATAAAGAACATTTATTACGGCGTATAAAGTTTTGTTTAACAAATATTATCAAGCTGAACAAATTGTGATTTTTTAGTACTAAAAAGACCTAACACGAACTTAAAATTTTAGGGTGGCAATTTCACTGACGAAGTAGCGGATTGTTGCTAATTTTTTTTTTATAAATTAATACTAATAAAAACCACCAATTCTATGTGTGTTTTCCCAAATTTCTAAGTTATTTTTATTCAGCCATTAAAACAAATTAAAAATCTTCAGTCGATCCTCGGACGGATATATATTCACAGCATTCCAACCCTTGTTTGTGTATACCTTTTTTGGGGGACGTACCACAAGTTGGGACCTTCATATATTAGGATTTCAGCATATCTAAGTCACATTAAAATATATTTTACCTTCAGTGGACATAAAGATGATTTAAAAAAATCAAAAAAAAAAAATCCTTTTTTAAATAATTTTAAAATCTCTTTTAATAATTTTTATTTTATTTTTAACAATATTAAACTAAGAAATCACAAACATTTTAAACAATTCGCTAGTATGAATACGATTACCAAGATTTAACCAAAACAGGGGCTGATTCATAGGTGTGCAAGACTGGAGTAGATACGGTCTTAACCAAAGCTGGGGCAGAGTATGTTTCAACAACAGGTGTGGCCAAAGTCTTGGTGGTGTATGAAGTGGTCTTTACTGCCGGAGCCAAAACATCCTCGACAACATGAGCCGAGCTGTGAACAACCGAGTGACTTTGATGGGACACAGCTGAGGGCACCGATTTCACAAGGGAACCAGTATGAGCATAGCCATGTTCCTGGACGGTCACTGTGGCCAAGGGAGCCGAATGCAATTCAACGGATTCATAAAGTCCTGGACGAGCCATAGCTAGGGCGAACAAAGCAGACAATACAACCTAGAAATGGATGAAAGATAATAATTATTACCACACGTTCTGGAATTGTTTTTCCTAAACGCTTCACTTACCAACTTGAACATTTTTCTTGTTTGTTTTTTTTGTTTTCTGAGAAGAAACCTCTGTGTTGTTTAGAATGGTTAACGCTTGAGTGTGATGATTTCCTCCAACACCCATTAACTTTATATACAAAATCGAAATTGAACAAATTTCAATTAGGAATTTAATATTGTTTTGGAAAAATAAACCCAAAAAGAAGAAGAAAAAAAACAAGTCTCCAAATCTTGACAATCCCATCATCAGCATCGTCATCTACATAAAGTCGGGTTTTATGGACTTCAACTGACATTGGAGTGGGTTTCTTGTGAGATTGCGAGCGTAAAAACCCTAGCGCACAAACAAAGCAACAAACAAACATACATTGTAGGGCAAGTAGTGCAGTACATAAGCCCCCCACCCTTTTTGTTAGCCATGTTAACACCAAATCTGAAGAGTTCACAAAACTTACAACGACCACACATTGTTGAGGTAGGCCATGGTAGTTAGTTATCAAAACAAAACAAGAGAAGTGAAGTGAATAAGAAATGAAATAAGAAAAATCATTAAGAATGAAGAATTAAATAGAAGGTTACAAAAACCTTAACCTTAGCCCTCCTCCCGCCGGAGAGTACATGATGGATGTTAAAAAGGGCCACTTGTAATTGTTTCTCAACAATTTGAAAGTATTCTGGTGTGTGAGTGTGTTTATGCGTGGTGAAGTCAATATTGAAGGGCCAGACCTACAATTGGTGTTTGCAGCTGAAGTACATGTTAAGAGAAGGGCAGAATTAAGAAGTAATCAATTTGACAACAACAACGAAACACCCATCAGAAAGATTTTGGTAACTATTTTTTCGGTTAATTGATGCGGTATTAAGACCTGTTACCTTGGTGGTGGACAGTGGTCACAGAACAGAAATTTGATAGCTTTAAATAAGATTTTTAAAATATTTTTTGTACCCTCAGCCATATGGCCAGAGAGGGTGTATATCATTTAATATGGCCAAAATGTGCCTCATCGAAATAATGGGTTTAAACCCCGGGACTTTTTGGTTCAAATCCGTTTCAGGACATTTGGATTCGATCTAGGGATGTTCGTCCGTCTGTCTGTCGGGCAGGTGCGCACGATAACTTTCGAATGTGATATCCGATAAGGTCCCATCTTGGTATATTGTAATATTATTATCAAATTTACTTCACTCCTTTTGGTAGCTCCCACTCAAAAGATCGAACTTTTCAAAGAAAATATTTTGTTGCACACAAAAAAAGTATGATCCGATTTTGCTCCAACTTTGCGAATCCTAATATTTCCATCAATGCTATGTCAGGCGCAAAAACTGACAATATCCATCAAGTACCACCCCCATAAAGGGTCAAAATTTTAAGTAGTTATAAGTCTGATTGTTTTCAAATTACACACATCACAATATTTTATTAGCCCAAGGTCTGTGGTGAAGACGGAATGTATTGGTCCACTTCTTCTGGTACCTCCCCCAAAAAGGGTCAATATTTTTAATATCCATAAAGCTCATACAACACGAAATATACATCTGATTACATTCAGACTCAATATTTCTATCAACACCAGATCTGTTGCAAAGATGGAAGAGGTCGGACAAATCCTTCCCCCACAAACAGTCAAAGTTTTGAATAACCAAAACTATTATAAAATCCGAGATAAGCGTCCTGTTCTCCTCATATTCCAAAACGATTATAAAATCCGAAATAAACACCCAACACTCTTCAAATTTTACACATCCCATTATTTCTTTTAACACAAGATCTGCTCTGAAGATGAGATATATTGGTCCACTCCTTCCGGTACCACTCCCACAAAGGGACAACATTTTGAATATCCATAAAGCTCATACAACACGAAATATACATCTGATTACATTCAGACTTGGTGCATCTCAATATTTCTATCAACACCAGATCTGTTGCAAAGATGGAAAAGATCGGGTAATTCCTTTTAGTACTTCCCCCACAAACAGTCAAAGTTTTGAATAATCAAAACGATCGTAAAATCCGAAATAAGCAGTCGGTTCTTTTCAAATTTCACACATCACATTACTTCCGCTATCACAAGATCTGCTGTAAATATGTGATATATCTGTCCACTCCTTCTGGTACCTCCCCCACCAAAGATCAGAATTTTGAGTAACCAAAACAATCATAAAATTCGAAATAAGCATTCGGTTCTCTTCAAATTTCTCACACACCATTATCTCTTCGAACACAAGATCTGCTGTGAAAATGGAATATATTGGTCCACTCCTTCTGCTACCTCCCCCACAAAGGGTCAACATTTTGTATATCCATGAGCTCATAAAACGCGAAATAAACATTCGATTCCACTCAGACTTGGCACATCTCAATATTTCTACAAACACAAGATTCGCTTTAAAGATGGTAGAGATCGGACTATTTCTTTTGGTACCTCACCCACAAAGGGTCAAAGTTTTTAGTAACCAAAACGACTATAAAATCTGGAAGAAGCATCCGGTTTTCTTCATATTTCATATACCATTATTTCTATGAACACAAGATCTGCTGTGAAGATAGGATATATCGGTCCACAGCTTCTCGTACCTTCCCCACAAAGAGTCAAAATTTTGAATATCCATGGAGCTCATAAAACGCGAAAAAAACATCCCATTCCATTCAGACTTGGCACATCTCAAAATTTCTACAAACACAAGATCCCTTTTTAAAAATGGTAGAGATCGGACTATTTCTTCTGGTACCTCCCCCACATAGGGTTAAAGATTTTGAAAACAAAACGTTCAAAGAAAGCGAAATAGCATACAAATCTCTTCAAATTTCACACATATTAAAATTTTTTCTAACACAAGATCTGTATTGAAAATGATATATATCTGCGAACTCCTTCTGATACTCTACCAAGTCACTGTGCGTCAACCATTTGTCAGCATTGTCTTAATTATTATGCTTTAACATTTTTATGCGGCTCTTAATAAAAAAAGCATACCCACACAGCCAGTAATGCTTAAGTAGAAGTACAATAAACATAAACAAAAAATCCCGGCCCTTTACAACCTCAAAATATTGAATATATAAAGAAGTTTAATTTCAGAAGAAATCATCACAGTTCGTCATCAGCTATCATCAACAACACAGATTTTCCTCAAAAAAAAAAAAAAAATCAAATCAAACAAAATGTTCAAGTTTGTAAGTGATAAAAAGGGATACTAACATTGAGAGAAAAATATGCTCTAATTTATTTTTTATAATTCCCACTAGGTGGTATTGTCTGCTTTGTTCGCCCTCGCTATGGCCCGTCCAGGACTTTATGAATCCGTTGAATTGCATTCGGCTCCCTTGGCCACTGTGACCGTTCAAGAACATGGCTATGCCCACACTGGCTCCCTGGTGAAATCGGTGCCCTCAGCTGTGTCACATCAAAGTCACTCGGTTGTTCACAGTTCGGCTCATGTTGTCGAGGATGTTTTGGCTCCAGCAGTAAAGACCACTTCATACACCACCAAGACATTGGCCACACCTGTTGTCGAAACATACTCTGCCCCAGCTTTGGTTAAGACCGTATCTACTCCAGTCTTGCAAACCTATGAATCAGCCCCTGTTTTGGTTAAATCCTGGTAGTTGTAGCTATACGAACGAATTGTTTAAAAAGTTTGTGATTTCTTAGTTTAATATTGTTAAAAATAATAAAAAAATATTAAAAATTATGTAAGAAGTTTTTTTTTGTTAATTGTTTAAAAAGCTCAGTTTTATGCTAGAATGGGGTATATATCATTAAAGGCGCAAAAATGTGCTTCAATTTTTTTTAGACCCTGGGTCTCTTTGGACGAAATCTGTTTTGGGACATTTGGAGTCGATTTAGCCATTTCTCTTGAAATGAGTATGCGATTTGGTTAAAACTTGATACATCGTAATATTTTTTTGTTGTCAAAATCCATTTTTCTGGCGCCTCTCCCACAAAAGTTCATTTTGGGCGTTATCTTTCGACGAAATCCGTTAAAGGACATTTTGAGTCCATTTAGTCATTTCTCTTGAAATGAGTAATATTGGAGAAATATTGATTTAAACTTCTTTAACCTATTTGATCAAATTTGAAGGTGGCCTTTCCTTCGAGTACCTTTCCCATAAAAGATCAAAATTTTGCGATAAATACAAATTTAATTTTAAGCGATGGAATTTAAGCTTGGCTCATCCTTATATTTAGTTGATATTTGGGTCAGGATCGGAAATGGATTAAGATTCCTTGGAATCCGTAGATTTTAGGTATGAAGTGTAGTGTAGGCAGTATTACGGATAAATATACGGGAATTATTTTGGTTAACCCTCCACGCCCAAAATTCTTCAAAAAATACTAAAAAAATCCACGCCTATAAGATCCTTTCAAATATATATTTTTTAAAACCCCACTCCTTTAAAATTCTTAAAAAATATATTTAAAAATTCCAAGCCTATAAAATTATTCAGAAAATATTTTTTTTTTAAATCCACGCCCATAAAATTCTTTAACGAATTTTTTCCAGTCATCCACGCCAATAAAATTCTAATATACGTCAATAAAATTCTTCAAAAAAAATACTTTTAAAAATTTCATGGCTATAAAATTCTTCAGAAAATATTTAAAAAACACGCATATAATATTCTTCAAAAAATACTTTTTAAAAATTCCACGCCAATAAAATTATTCAGAAAATATTTTTTTTTAAAAAATCCACTCCTATAAAATCATTCAGAAAATATTTTTTTAAATTTTCACGCCTATAAAACTAATCAGAAAATATAAAATTATATTAAAAATATAATTATATTAAAAAATAAATATTTTTTAAAAAATCCACGCCTATAAAATTATTCAGAAAATATTTTTATTAAAAAATAAATATTTTTTAAAAAATCCACGCCTATAAAATTATTCAGAAAATATTTTTATTAAAAAATAAATATTTTTTAAAAAATCCACGCCTATAAAATTATTCAGAAAATATTTTTATTAAAAAATAAATATATTTTAAAAAATCCACGCCTATAAAATATTTTTATTAAAAAATAAATATATTTTAAAAAATCCACGCCTATAAAATATTTTTATCAAAAAATAAATATTTTTTAAAAAATCCACGCCTATAAAATATTTTTATTAAAAAATAAATATTTTTTAAAAAAATCACGCCTATAAAATTATTCAGGAAATATTTTTTTTTTAAATTACACGCCTATAAAATTATTCAGGAAATATTTTTTTAAAATTACACGCCTATAAAACTAATCAGAAAATATTAAAAAAAATATTTTTTAAAAAATCCACGCCTATAAAATTATTCAGGAAATATTTTTTTTAAAATTACACGCCTATAAAATTATTCAGGAAATATTTTTTTAAAATTACACGCCTATAAAACTAATCAGAAAATATTAAAAAAAAAATATTTTTTAAAAAATCCACGCATATAAAATTATTCAGGAAATATTTTTTTAAAAAAAATCCACGCATATAAAATTATTCAGGAAATATTTTTTTAAAAAAAATCCACGCATATAAAATTATTCAGAAAATATATTTTTTTTAAAAATCTACACCTATAAATTATTCAGAAAATACTTTTTTTAAATCCACGCCTATGAAATTTTGCAAAAAATATTATTTTAAAAATCCACGCCTTTCAAATTCTTTAAATATTATTCTTTAAAAAATCTACGCTTATAAAATTATTCAGAAAATACTTTTTTTTAAATCCACGCCTATAAAATTTTTCAAAAAATATTCTTTTAAAAATCTACGACTTCCAAATTCTATTCGCCTATAAAATTTTTTTAAAAAAAAAAATTATTTTGAAAATCTACGCCTTTCAAATTCTATTCGCCTGAAAAAATTTTTCAAAAAGAAAATTATTTTAAAAAAACCCCGCCTTTCAAATTCTATTCGCCTGTAAAATTTTTCAAAAAAAAAAATCTTTCAAATTTTATTCGCCTGCAAAATTTTTCAAAAAAAAAAAATCTTTCAAATTTTATTCGCCTGCAAAATTTTTCAAAAAAAATCTTTTAAAAAATCCACGCCTACTAAATTGTTAAAAAATTATTCTTTAAAAAAACCCACGCCTACTAAATTGTTAAAAAATTATTCTTTAAAAAAACCCACGCCTATTAAATTGTTAAAAAATTATTCTTTGAAAAAAACACACGCCTATTAAATTGTTAAAAAATTATTCTTTAAAAAAATCCACGCCTATTAAATTGTTAAAAAATTATTCTTTAAAAAAATCCACGCCTACAAAATTCTTCAAAAAAATTTAAAAAATCCACGCCTATTTAATCTTTTTAAAAATATTTTCTAAAAGATCCGCGCCTATAAATTTCTTCAAAAAAATATTATTTTAAAAATTCCATGCATATAACATTCTTCAAAAAACATTCTTTTAAAAATACACGCCTATAAAATTTTTTAAAAAATATTCTTTTAAAAATACACGCCTATAAAATTTTTTAAAAAATATTCTTTTAAAAAAACCACGCCTATATAATTCTTCAAAAAATATTCTTTTAAAAAATCCACGCCTATATAATTTTTCAAACATTTTTTCCCGTAATCCACGCCTGTAAAATTTTTAAAAGAATTGTCTATGACTTCGTATATCCCCCATATAAATGTACCTCCCGATATTCGGTATTTTGATGATTTTAGCCAAATTTTTAAATGGAATTGTCTGCAATTCTACGCAATGAGTTCTTTATAACTACTTTAATCCCTGAAAAAGAATTGTCTATATAGGTTTACGATCTCGTATATCCCCCATATAACTGTACCTCCCAAAATTCGGTATTTTGATGATTTTCGCTGAATGTGGTAATGTAGTAATGGGTACTGCAACCTATGGTGGAAAATTGTCCATGGAGGTCCACATCTAGTATAGCCCCCTTTATTCGGTATTTTGAAGATATTAGAGACATTATTCCCGGAATTGTTTCAAATTTCGTATTTGAATTTCGGAATCGGTACTACAGCCTATGACAGAAAATTCCTTATCCAGTAACACGTCTTTGTACATAGGTTTTTATTTAAGCGATATTTTTCGACGATTTTTTTTTAATATTTCAAGTTCTTTCCGAATGGTGGAGGGTGTAAAAAGTTCGCCCGGACGAACTTATCTGCTTTTTTATTGGCTTGTCTTAATTTTTTTTAATCTACTCCCCTATGATTCTTAAAGAAATATTTGTTGAAAAATCTACGCCCATCAAATTCTTGAAAATTGTTTAAAATTCTTTTTGGATCTTCAAATAGTTACAAAAAGGCAAACATTTTAAAGAATAATATCTCTTACAATTAGTTAGCGCAAAGTGATTATATCAGTACATTTCCCACGAAGGTTCAAAATGTTTCCAATATAAACCTCAACATTTCAAATCAAGCAAAGGCAATACTCAATGGCTTATACATGTTACATCCACAATGCTAACTATCTTCTTCTTATAACTTCTTACAACAAAAACTCAATGTCCGCTAAATTGTCAGCATCCCAATATTTGTATCGATATAAGATCAAGTGGTATTTTTCAAAAAATTTCGGATAAAGGATCGAATCTAATACTAGGTACTGCCCAATCTTGGTCCATGATAATATTTATATTAAGCTTTGGTAAGGAGGAATTAATTATCATTGCTTTGCGAAACTCCGCTCAAATGCGGAATTATTCCCTTGGAACACCCATTGAAATTTTCTAAAATTTTTTCGACACATTCTCTATTTGAAAAAAAAAATGCCAAAATATTTCTATGTTTTCTACACATTTGCATTTATTTTGCATACATACATATTTATTCACTTAATTAAGTGTCCAGAATATTATATAAAAATAGCTACTATGTCTTGCATACACACTATATCCACTACAACACTTTCGTTGGCACCATGCGATTTCCGAAATGTTTTCAATAAATACGAGAATAAGGCGAAGCGGCAGCATAGGTGCCATATGGAGCCGACGAAACATAGCCACCATGATATACTGGAGCCGAAACAGTGCGAAGAACTGGAGTAACATATGAAGTTCTTACCACAGGAGCAACGACATCCTGAACAACATGGGCGGACTTATGAACTACAGCATGGCTGGCATGAGACACTGAAGTGGGAACGGTGTGGACAACAGCACCAACTGTGGCCAAGGCTGGCTGGTGAATGGCAACTGTGGGATGACTGTAGCTAACATAGGGTGAGGAGGCGACCAGACCACTGGGACGGGCCACAGCAACGGCCAGGAGGGCAGATAAGATGAACTGGAAAAGGGAATTGATTGGAGATAATTTTATTTATTTCATTCTTTTTCAAACTTACCAATTTGAACATTTTGAATTATTTTTTTGAATATTTTTCTAACACTGCTTAGCTAACTTAGTTGTGGGATATTACAATGCGTTTGCTTGTCTACTCACAGATTATCATAGTATTCATAGTTAAGCCAAGTGTTCTGGAGAAAGCGTCTAAAAAGTGAAATGAAATATCATGCATTAAACATGTTCATATTGGGCGCCATTTCATGTAGCCTTGTTGCAAGCTTCATTGATTTGCAGAAATGCGAATCATAACTGATTGCTATATTTTTTTTCTAATCACATTCATGATCGATCATAAAACTGTTGTTGTTTTTGTTAATTTTAAGTAGCACTAATTTGTTTGTAATGAAAATACGGAGGTGCGGAACGAGCAATTAGATCCACTCTCATCATCACAAAGCAAATGACAGGTTTTCTCGCCAAGAAGTAAAGCGATAGCATCTAAAGCATAACTTGTCTGTCTCCTCAGCAGTCTTTTGAGTGAATTCCATAAAATACACAGCCAACTTTTTTGCTTGTCATTAACAAAATATTTTGGGTTTATTCATTGCTTCCGTTGTAATTAATAGTTGTAGTTTATTTGGTGGCAAAGGGAAATAAGTTGATTTGGTTAAATTCCTATGATTTTTGTTTAGAGTTTGCATTATTATATTTTAGATGAATAATCATTAGTTTGATTTGATGGACATAAGAGGTTATTACTTCTTCAAGGTATGCTAGGTTACAATTAAATATTGTAAATGGTTGAAGAAAAAATTATTCACCAAAATTGTTTGCCAAACAAAAGGGTATTCGTCCCAAAGTACCTCATAAAAAACATTCTGTTGAAAATTTAGCTAAAAACGCCGAATATTTGGAGATATCGTTCACGGTCCTATTTTTCCTCGAAAATATTTTGTTGATAAATCCACACCCATGAAATTTTTAAAAGTATGTTTTAAAAAGCCATAAAAATGCCTCAAAAATATATTTTAAAAATCCAAGCCTAAGAAATTTTCAAAAATATTTTTTTAAGAAATACACTCCCATGAAATTCTTCAAAAAATATTTTTTTAAAAAATCACGCCATAAATATTTTTTGAAAAAAAAAAAAAAATCCAGGCCAAAAATATTTTCTAAATATCCACACTCTATAAGTTCTTGATTTTTTTTTTTGTTCCACATCCCTCTTTTTCTTCAAAGTTGTTTTTTTAATCCACGCCCCTATTTTTCTTCAAAGATTTTTTTTTAAATCCACGCCCCTATTTTTCTTCAAAGTTGTTTTTTTAATCCACGCCCCTATTTTTCTTCAACGATTTTTTTAATCCACGCCTCTATAAACATATTTTCAAACACTGAGGATATCGGTTGGAACACCAATTGAAATTTTCTAATTTTTTTAACCAAAATAATAACACGAAAATAAGAATTTGTGTTGGCAATTTTCTGCCGTAGGAAGCAGAATCCACTTCTTATTCTTGTATTGAAATTTAATAAATTTGATATTTTTGACGTCATCCTTCTAAAATTAAGCTTTGTAGGAGATTTTTGCATTAATTCACATAAAGTTAGCTCTAAAACTTTACGTGTTTATAATGTACATAAATTCCTGGTGTTCAGGTAAGACTAGACTTTTGACGTCTTTCGGGACCTATAGTAAAATTTTATGATAAATAATTTTGTAAAATATTTTGACTTGCTACAATCCCGTTTAAAAGAAAGTTTTTGGTCATAGATTCAAACAAGTAAGCAAAGGCTATAGTCGTCGGCGGGTCTGATCATCTTATACCCTACAGCGCTGCAATATGGAAGTTGTGGTCCATTTTACAGCACATGAAAAATACCGCGTCGATTGGTTTTCAATTGTTACCTGTAGATCGACAGCAAAATCAGTAGAATTTAATTTTTTTGGTCCATTTGAACCTCTAAATGTGCATCTCCATGACAATAGGCTTTAATTCTGACCGTAACCCTGTCACATTCAAATTTTCAAATGCGACCTGTATATAATAAACTCATAGTGTAGAAAAATTTTAGAAGAAATTACAATTCAAAATTGTAAGTCAAATTAAACCAGTAAAAAAAATAAAGGCCAGGGCCGACTTTATGATACCCTACACCACTTTGCTAATTAAGTAGAGCTGCGCATAATAATTAAACGTTTTTATAGGAGCATTCAATCATACACGCTATGATAATAATTATAATTTAAAGTTCAAAGAACTAAATATGCCGAAGCATTTGTATCTTTTAAATTCGGACTTGTATTGCCCATTTGGTGCACAATTAATTTGAAATCGGATAAAAATATATATGGGAGCTATATACATATCGGAACCGATCTCGATAAAATTTGGCAAAGATATTTCTGAGCTGTATTTGATATATTTCCCTGAATATCGTGGGTATGCACTCGTTGGAGTGCATATTACGGCTGTGGGTAACAAATATGACAAATCGGATGAACAGTATGTATGGGAGCTACAACTATATCTGAACCAATCTTCACCAAATTTGGCATACTAGCTTCTAGACTTCAATTCGGTCGTAAGTGCCAAATTTCATCCCACTTGGACAAATATTAGATGTTTGGTGCACAATCAAAGGTAAATCGGACGAAGTTATATATGGGAGCTATATCCAAACCTGAACCGATTTCGATAAAGTTTAGCAAATGTATTTCTGAGCTGTATTTGATATATTTCCCCAAATATTGTTGTTACAGGGTGCATATTACGGCTGCGGAGGACAAAAATAGCAAATCGGATGAACAATATATATGGGAGCTATAGCTATATCTGAACCGATTTCGATCACATTTGGCATACTTATTTTCAGGTTCAATCTGATCGTACGTGCAAAATTTCATACTACTCGGACTGATATTACACGTTTGGTGCACAATAAAAGGCAAATCGGACGAAGATATAAGTTAACGGCTCACCCTAATAAACATCAAACTAAATATGCAAACCAACTAGTAAACATTCCCATCATTATGCTGCGCAAGCAGTCCGACAAATCAACAGGAATATGACACCAGGGCAGTCATCCGCCACAAACACGCGCACTAATACCAGCGCACCGCAAGTGATGACTCAGCGTAATAACGAGCACGACCAGGCTGCAGTATAATATTAGTTTTAAGTTGAAGTAATTCATAATTGTAAATCCAACAAGAGAGGTGCATAGCACCGCAACATAAATGTTAGTAACAAAATAAAGAAACACCATAGCAGTGTGAAATAAACTTTAACTTCTAACATTAACTGGCGCCCAACAACTACAAGGATCAACACATCCTAGAACCCAACAACCACAAGGATTAAAACATCCCAACAGCCGGTACGAGAACCGTTCCTGAGTAGGAGTACGAAAAGGATGTTACGTAAGAACTAGCGGACTACCGGGATATAAGGAAAATGATCAAATTATTATTAGTAAGTTATTATAAATTTAACAAAAGTAAAAAAGAAGAAATGTTAAAATAAAATTAAACAAAATAAGGAATAACACAGAAAGTGAAAGTGTGAAAACTAATTTACAAAAAATCATATTTGTGCTAGAATACGTTTAACAAAAATAACAAAGTAAGAAGAAAGAAATGTTAGAGTAAGGTAAAACAAAAAATAAAGTGTGACATCTAAATTTACAAAAAAAATCATATTTGTGCGAAATTAACAAATGTAAGAAATATGAAATGTTAGATTAAGTTAAACAAAAAAATAGAGTGTGGCATCCAAATTTAAAGAGTCATATCCGTGCTGAAATAAGTTTAAAGAAATTTTGATAATAGATTTGTGACGAGAACTAGGATTTGGTGTTTCTTTTTCTCCTTTTTTTCGAGCGGCCAATGCCGGAAGATTTAAACAACTTAATAACAAGGGTCGAAGCTATGAGTGTTTCAGGACAGACATCTTCGCCTTCTGGGGCAGCTCCCGTAAGGTTTAATCCCTTTACGGAAAGTCAGACTAATGAGGTGAAACGAATAATAAGTGAGACGGTGGCAAACCTTCTCAAACAGGGGGAGGATGTTACCGCCACTAAAGATGTCGACATAGAAGGATCTGGGGATATCTCAGAAGGAGAGAGAATACCAGACATAGTGAAGACGTTAAGGGAATTCTCGGGCAAGCCAGGAGAATTTAGTTCGTGGAGGAAAGCTGTTGATAGGATCATGAACATTTATGAGTCACAAAGGGGAACAACCAAATACTTCACAATTCTACACACTGTTAGGCATAAAATTGTTGGTGAGGCCGACACGGCTTTGGAGTCTTATCGGACCCCATTAAATTGGAAAGCGATAAGAAAGTGTTTAGTGCTTCATTTTTCAGATAAGAGAGATATTTCGACCTTAGAGTATCAAATGACCGTCCTATCTCAGGGTGGGCAAACCATAACAGATTTTTACCAGAAGGTTTACCACCATTTGTCTTTGATTCTGGACAAGATTGATTGTCTGGATATAGGGAACGAGGCTTTGGATGTATTGACCCAAACATATAGGGACAAGGCTTTGGACACCTTTATTCGAGGACTTAATGGTAATCTTCCAAGCTTAATGAGTGTTACAAACCCGACAAGTTTGCCTCAGGCTCTAAATGCCTGTTTAAAATTAGGTAATCTAGGTGTGCGTATTCAACACGCTACCGAGAAAGGATCTAGACCAAACAGGATCCCCCAAACTAACCCTCCTAGACATTTTTACCCACAGCTGACGATTGGTGATAGGAATTTTCAAGGTGACCAAAGGTACAGAGGCCCTACTCAATATCGTTATCGGAATTTCCGAAGTGGAGAACAACAATACGGAGGGCCGGCGAACTTTTCGAATCGACCTCCAGTAGTGAATAATTTTGGACACCCCCAATACGGAGGATACAGACCCCCACTTCCTCCTAAACCTGCTGTACCAATGGACGTGGATCAATCAATACAGACTAGGCAGGTAAACTATCAGAATAGGCCACAGTTGAGTAATGCTTTTAACAATGTTCAGCCTAACTTTAAGAGAAATAATTCAGGAAATATTCATCAGCCGCAAAAGCAGCAGAGAGTGTTTAATGTTGAGGCCCAAATACGTGAGGATGCAGAGCCGGATGAAAT